ACAGCATTCTTTTGATCTCCAGAGACACCTACAAACTTAAGAGGACCCCATCTGTTGGCTGGCCCAGGCTGTGAGCCAAATGCCAGTCTCAGGTGTGTTTATAATCTTCGTTTTTATTCTAAAAATGGAGGGGGAAACAGCCTTTAGCCTGTACTGACACAGCCCTGGCCTGGGACAACAAAGGATGGCTTTGGTGTTTAGTGCACTGATTTCTGGTAGAGACAATAGCAGCTTTATTTCCTTTCTCTGGAACCAGGAAATGGATGTAACTGACAAGTCAAAGATGTCACTTGTGGATAATATGTCTCAGGGCAGAGCCACAATGACAAACTCATCCTGTCATTTCTGAGAATCGTGGGGCTTAAGTAATGGATCTTTTCAAGACAAGCCAGCATTCTGGGAACTTACGTTGGGTTGACATGGGAGACATGCTCCCCAGAGACCTGCGTAATGTATCCAGGACAGCCAATCACTGACAGATATGGCTTGTATTCTGTGTCCCTGTCTCTGGGTGCAGTCCTTTTTCAGGAAATATATCTCTTAATCACAGAAAATAGAAAACAAGAGACATGAGAAAGAACAGGCAAGGCTCCAAAGCTAAATCACTGTGGTCTAAGACACCTGTTGCCTGGTGTACCCGAAACATCAAGCCTCTGTTACTAGGACACAGAAGTATGCTACTCTACTCTACATCAGAGTACTTACTAATAAGGAATTTGTTCTTTTTGGAAGACGAAATGCCATAGTGATAGAGAACACGGCAAGGCACTCACCATGCATCTGACTTTGTGCTTAGCTCTACACTCAACTCCCCTCTGTGAAGAAGGAAGATATTCCTTATCAAAGAGGAGGAAATGAAGGTCCAAGGAGGAGACTCACGACCTATCCCAGACTCTGTGGCAGGAAAGGACAGTACTGAAATCCCACATTTGAGGTCGGGTGTCCCAAGACTCTGCTCTCATACACTCAGATGCCACTCTCAATGAAAAACTAAACACTGTCAAGTAGAGATAAGCCTAGAAGCCTAACTTCCACAGCCCACACTGTGACGTAAGCTCACCTTTCACAGCCTAGTTAGTGGTGGCCATCGAGGTCTCCGCAGCACAAAGATTATGGGCAGAAGCTCCTGGGTCCTACACAGAGCTGTTTCCATGCGCATGGTAGATGGGGGAAGCACCAAGTACTTCTCTGTATGTGGGGCTCAGATGCTATTCGAAAGAACTCCAGGGGGAAAAGTGTTGAAAAGACAAGAGCTGACCTTAGTAGCCTAACCAAATCCTGCCCTGGAACTTTTGGGGTTACTGAATGCTAAGTGTACTGTGGTAAACTGACCCTGAGATGGCTCCAGTGACCCTAACCCGGTAAAGAAACCTGTGTGTAATCATCTCCTGAGATAAGACAGCATCCAAGCATTCTGCTTCTGTCTCGTTTGCTGTCTCTTGGTGGTTCTGTGGGGGAAAAATCAGTGAGTGGGGGTTCTGCTCTGAGCCCCAACTCCCTACATCCCCTGGTTCCATCTCCCTGGGCATTTGTTGTGCCTAGAGAGGACCTGCCCCACCCGGAAGGCTCACCCTGAGTCTGCCCACACCTCAGTCTTCAGTGCCTTCCAATCCAAAGAGACCCCATGAGATCCCACTGAAAGAAAGGATGGGAAGAAGGCAATATAAAAGCACAGCCAATAACAGAACCAGTATGACACCACCAGAGTCTAGAAACTCTACACAAACAAGACCTGAACATACCAACACAGATGAAACAGAAAAGAATGACCTTCAAAACAACCTCCTGAAAGTGATAGAGGCCCTCAAAGAGGACATGAGAAAATTCCTTAAAGAAATGGAAGAAAACACAAACCAAAAAAAATGCAAGAAATCAACAAATGTCTTAAAGAAATCAAGGAAAGCCAAGAAAAAACAATCAAACAGATGAAGGAAATAATTCAAGACCTGAAAGCCGAAATTGAGACAATAAGAAAAACACAAACTGAGGTAATGCTGGAAATCAAAAGGCTGAAAAACCAACCAGGAACTACAGATGCAAGCATAACTAACAGAATACAAGAGATGGAAGACAGAATCTCGTGCACTGAAGATAAACTAAAGGAAATAGATTCATCGACAAAAGAAATTCTTAAATCCAACAAATCCTTAACACAAAATATCCAGGAAATATGAGACACCGTGAAAAGACCAAATCTAAGAAAAATAGGTATAGAAGAAGGCGAAGAAGCCCAGCTCAATGGTGCAGAAAACATATTCAACAAAATCATAGAAGAAAATTTTCCCAACCTGAAGAAAGAGATGCCTATGAAACTACAAGAAGCTTACCAAACACCAAATAGACTGGAGCAAAAAAAAAATTCCCCTTGCCACATAATAATCAAAACACCAAACATATAGAATAAAGAATGAATATTAAAAGCAGCAAAGGAAAAAGGCCAAGTAACATATAAAGGCAAACCTATCAGAATTACACCCGATTTCTCCATGGAAACTATGAAAGCCAGAAGGTCCTGGATAGATGTTCTACAAACAATAAGAGACCACAGATTCCAGCCCAGACTACTATTCCCAGCAAAGCTCTCAATCACTATAGATGGAGAAAACAAGATATTCCACGACAAAACCAGATTTATGCAATATGTATCCACAAATCCAACCCTACAGAAAGTTCTTGAAAGAAAACATCAACCCAAGCAAGTTAACTACACTCAAAATAACATGGTCAATAGATAATCTTAGAAATAGGAGAAAAACTCACACACAAAACCACCACCACAGACGGATCCAAAACAAACAAGAATCAACAATCAATGGTCATTAATATCCCTGAATATCAATGGTCTTACCTCACCTATAAAAAGGCACAGGCTAACAGAATGGATATGAAAACAGAACCCATCCTTCTGCTGCATACAAGAAACACACCTCAATTTCAAAGACAGAGCCATTCCAGTGTCTGTGTTCCCCCTGGGCAAGTCTATTACTCCTCAAAAGTCCCAGAATGAAAGCAATGGAAATATCAATTTTATTTGCTCTGATCATGAGTGTCTTATTGGACTCCTCTTCTGAAATATGACTGCATCTTTATCTGTCATCAGACAGTTCCATTGACTTCCTAGTGTTCAGAAACTGAAGTCCACTTACCAATTACAACATTCAAGGTCCCTGCATCTGGTTTCCCTGCACCTCCCAGCTCTTCTTTCTCCTGACCCAGCCATATATAAGTTTCAACCTTTTACCCAGGCTGCAAGGCTCTCTCTGCTATTCCTCCTCAAGTTCAATTCAGTTTGTAAGATGCAGAATAGCCATGGCACAGCCCTTTCATCTCCCTTCATAATTCTAGAGTTGATAACTAAGACAAGACTAGCAGGATGATGGAGAAGTGAGAGCCTTTGAACTTAACTCAAACAGACCTGTTGCATGATAGCTGGGTGATTCTGGGCAAGTTCCCCAGGATGCCTGAACATTTCATTTTCATGGCAAGATATTCACGCAGTCACCTTCTGAGGACAAGTGATTTCCTAAAACACAATGCCTGTAATATAATCAGACCATAGTTGGGCCTTGTTATTCCATGCACTCTAATATGACAGTGTGCCTGGTTGTATTCAGGTATCTCTCTTTTTGTATTGCTTGGTTATTGTTCTGCTCTGTCTTTCCCTTTTCTCTTCTCAAAGTAGGTTATATGTTTCATACAAAAGTCTCATTTGTTTGCTCATTCATAAATAAAGTATTACGTACCAATTTATGACAGGTATTGCCTTAAATTGCCAACTAAACATGATTTTACTCTCAGCAATCACACTTCATATTTGGGAAGACAAACATATAAATGTCTTTATCTTCAATCCCAGTTCCAATTCTACCTCATTGGCTTACAAAAAATGGCTATTTTTTTACAAGATCTATCTTTATGAAATTATCTCCCACATTTCAAGGATTAGGCTAAACAATTTCTATGCACTACTTAGAAATATTTATGATTTCCAAACATGGAATATTCCATGTCTATATTAGGAAAATTATGGCTCTATTAGATTAAATAACTTGTGCAGAGATTTTCAGGTAAGAATAAATATATTACCAATATTCACATTTATGTGGGTCTAACCACAAAATCCTCCCCTTGGCTTCAATGCTTTAACTTATTGCATACTTAGTAACAATGATAAGTAAAATAAGAAACATGACAAGGAGTGTTTAGTATTCCATTTCTAAAGCATTTTCTAAAATTGGAACCCATGATCCTTGAGGACATTCATCACAGTGAACTTCAAGGGTTTCTCAAGTGGTTTTCACAGTGAACGTAGTGTGCATAGATACAATCTAACCCCTGCATGCTCAGATATCATCCTCTATTTCACTGATTTGTCCTAATCAAAATGTAGCTATCACAAAGGCATTCCAAAGTCATATTGGGCCAATAATATTATAATCATCATTCTCTTACTAATTGTGAAACTCTATTCTTCAAGAGTTGATATTGAATTCAAGAGCAGGCACTGAGTGGCTGCTCCAATAGTATCTGGGAGCACCTCCCCCCCCTGAATTTTACCTGTGTAGACACACTCAAGCCTTATGATGGCCTTGAAGGTGGATGACATTTCGTTAGCAGTACAGATAGAAAGGACTATAAGTAATCTGACCAAGACTCAAACAAGGATCATTAAGAGACAGAGCTTTATCATAAAAACACTTATTTTTGATTCTCTATTTCAGTCATGAGCACTTACTTGGAAACATTAAGTAGCACTGACAAGGTTAGCATCTGAGCAGGGTTTCCCATCAGTATGAGGTGGGTATAGAGCAAGTAGGCGCAGACCATCTTCTGGTATTCATAAAGACATTCAGAGAAAGCCCTTGGTGGTATTCTCCCGAAGAGACCCTATTAGAATGTTCATTGTTCACAGTGCCCTCACTCATTGGCTGCATCACACATTCTGTTTGGAACTTTTTGTACACAATAAAGACTGAAGTGTGAGCTCAGTCTAAGTCAACCTCCAAGGCAGACAGAAAACAGACACAGTACAGAGGGCCGCAACTCTTCTAGGGTTTCATCCCTTTCTTCCTCAATGTTGACCCTGAACCTGAGTCCTAGAAGCTGTTTGTCAGGTGCTGCACTAGGACTTGAAGCTAGATAAAGGTACAGATTCCACACCTGCCATCAAGGTCATAAGAAAAGTGAGTGTTACAACAGGCGAGCATGGGAAGAGAAAAATCTAAGCCCCAGATAACTCACCAAGTTACGTCCCAACTACTAACAATTGTGTGAAGACAAATATTCAATCCTACTGATAATCTGGTAAAAGAAAATTGATATCATAACATATGAAGTCACAATGACTAGAATGCCAAGAGAAAATACAGACAATACCAAGTAGGGGTGTGGATATGAAGCTACTATAACATTTATGAGCTTCCAGGGGAAATTGATGTGGCCACTTTAAAACAGCACTGAGCATTACCTAGAATACACACACCCTGTGCCACAGCTGAGCCCTTCGTAGCACTCAACAGAAAAGCATACATATAGAGATCGAAAGACATGCATACAAATATTGCCATTATTTCTACAATGCTCTACTGCCAGAAGTTACATAGATCTCATCAAAATGTACAAATGAATTGTGGCATATTCGTGTTTTGGACATGACATGGCAGAATATGAAGCGCTATAGGCTGTCTCTACATAGCAATATGCACAAATTGCAAAATAAATGTTTAAAGTTAGAAGTCAGTAATGAAAGAGTCTATACTTCTTGGTCACATTTGCATAAATCTATTCACAACCAAGTAAAAGTACTCTATGTTGTTGGGTTTCAATACAGTAACTGTTAACATGTGAAAGTAACTGGAAAGGAACATGGTGGGCTCCTAGGATGTTGACCGTTTGCTGAATCTAGATCGAGGATCTGGTTATACTAGTCTTTGTGTTTGGGAAATTTTTCCATGGTCATATATATATTCTTTATTTGCTTCATTCTGAGGCAAGATGTCACCCTGTAGCCAAGGCTATCTTGGAACTTGCTATGTAGCACAGAATGGCTTCAAAATTGCGTCAATCTTCTTTGTTCGACCTTCTAAATGCTGGAATTACAGGCATGAGCCACTATATACAGCTCATAAATATGTATTTCATAATAAAACATTAATTTCTCCCACAGCATTAATGATGTGTTGTCTGGGGTAAGTTGTTCAATTTGATTTCTACAAAATTATTATTTTATCTTGAAACAAACTGTATTTCAATTATAACATTTAAATTCCATTAATATAAGCTCTGAAACTCAAAACACACAGAGGGAGAATACTTCAGGTACTCTCTGAATGGGACTCTAACCACTCAGAAAACAGGGCTAACAGTTAACTACAGAGATTCCATGAAACTAAAAGTCTTCTTTACGGAAAAGAAAATAAAAAGATCCACGATAAGAGACAGACTACAAAATGGCAGAAAATCTTTACTAGCAACACATTTGACAGAGGATTAACAACTACCATACATAATCCACTTTTAAAATGACACACCAAGAAACAAAATAAAAACCGCAGTCAATAAATGAGCTAGTGAAATGAGTAGACAGTTCTTAGTTGATGATACCCAATGGTCAACAAACATGAAAGCCCTAGACACCCAAAAAATGCAAGTAAAAACTACATCGAGCTATAATTTCACACCAGTCAGAATGGCAGCCATCAAAAAAAATAACAAGTACTGATTAGAATGTCAACAAAACAGACACTTTCCACATTGTTGGTGGAGACTTAAACTAGTCCATTCAAAATAATAGTAAAAAAGTCAGTCTGCCCTATGACCTAACTATGCCACCCCTGGATGTTCACCTAACAAAGAATTAATATCTAGCATATACAAATTGCTCAAACACTACACACCAGCTGGGCTGTGGTGGTACATACCTTTCATCCCAGCATTTGAGAGGCAGAGGCAGGTGAAGGCAATCTGGTCTACAGAGCAAGTTCCAGGACAGACACCAAAGCAACCAGAGAAACCCCGTCTCAAAGAAACAAAACAAACAAACAAAAAACAAAAAAAGAAAAAAGAAAAGACTATATACCAAAACAAATGAACAACACATCCAATAAATAGACTATGGAATTAGTAGACAGTTCTTGACTGGTGACATACAGTGAATCAAGTCAACATCACAGAGATGCTTTTATGCCATTGTTATGGCAATGCTAGTTACAATAGATAAGTTATGGAAACAACCTGGGTGTCCACCAATAGAGTAAGGGATACAAAGAAGGTGGTTTATATACACAGGAGAATATTTCTGAGCCCTAAAGAAGAAAAACATTGTCATGTGAAGGAAAATACACGCAACTGGACATGCTCATATTATGTGAATATGGTATGATTAAGTTAAAATCTTTATGTCTCAAAAAGAAAAATGATCTCATTTTCTCACACTTTGGGGTTCTGGACCACAGTTATATAAAAGCATCTATACAAGATGTGAACATACAAATAAAACTGTTTAGGCATACAAAACGAACGAATGAGAGAGGGAATGATGAGGCACAGGTCGCTGGAGAGTAAGGGCATATACTCATATGACATCAACTGGCAATCTAAGCAATAGTGAAAAGACTACCTTAAATGCCCTTCCCCGATAATAAGATTGAGGACTACCTTATATGCCATCCTAGAGCCTTCATCCAGTGGCTGATGGAAGCAGAGGCAGACACCCACACCTAAACACTGAACTGAACTCCTGGAACTCAGTTGTAGAGAGGAAGGAGTGATGAGCAAAAGGGTCAAGCCCACGCTGGTGAAACCCACACAAACAGCTGACCTGAACAAGGGGGAGCTCATGGACCCCCAGACTGATGGTTGAGAGGCCAGCATGGGACTGATCCAGACTCACTAAATTTGGGTGTCAGTGAGGATGCCTTGGCAATCTATGGGGCCTCAGGTAGTAGATCAGTATTTATCCCTGGCATAGAAATGGGCTTTGGAAGCCCATTCCATATAAAGGGAGGCTCTCTCAGCCTGCACCCATGGGGAAGGGCCTAAGTCCTGACCGGATAATAAGACAGACTTTGGAGATTCCCCATGGAGGGCCTCACCCTCTCTGGGGAGCAGAGTGGAGATTGGGTGGAGGTTTGGGGGCTTGGTGGGGGGAGGGTAGGAGAGGGAGCTGGGATTGACATGTGAAGTAAGCTTGTTTCTAATTTAAATAAATTTTAAAAAAAGAAAATGCAATTTCCAGCTGTGTTAAATGCTGTGGATAAAGAGTCCTTGGACTTTAAAAAGCATTTTGGCCATTAGAACTAGTTCTTGAGGTCAGAGAAGTCTGCCTAGTGCTCAGGAAGAGGTAATTAGTCGAGCACTGTCTGTGCTCTGTGCTAGAACTTCCTGCATTGTGTGTAGAATGTATTATGTAGTCTATGAATGACACAAGGACAGGACCGTACTTCATCAATACCTTTGTCTTCTGCCCTGGAAAACTACCAAGGTGCATATAATAAGTGGCTAAATGATCTGCCTTAAAGTGGCTTTTATTACCACTGCATTTATTTCTTGAATTCTTGTAGACTAGAGATTTCGTGCCGTTACCCCTAGAGAAAAATACCAGAGATGTCTGCATGACATGACAATCTCTGTTCTTGCTGTACCCCGTTACCCCAAGAACAAAAACAACCATTTGCTGATGACAAAAGAAAAGACAATGCTGAGGACCTCCAAGCACGGCAACGCCACTTTGCTCACAGCATCTCTCTGGTTCTTTAATGATAATTACATAAGCTGTGACTTATGCTAATGACTGCCTGCAAATCCAATTTGATGATTATGTTTTATATTAACACCCAGTTAAAACAGCAGCTTGCAAGTAGGAGCACATAAGAGGGTGTTACTATGCAGTCCAGAGCAGAGATCAAATAAGCTGTATTGGCAAAAGAGATATATCCTTAGGAGCTTTTTGTTTTAGAGCCATTTTTGTTTGTATGTGTTTGAAGGAGTAGTGTTTGTGTTTTTGCCATCTGTTAAAGGTGTCTTTCAGAAACCCTGCCAAACCACCCTAGTAAAGAAGAAATTGAGAAGATGAACCTTAAGCCTGAGAAGATGAATTCCAGGTGATATAAAAAGATAGATGGTAACATAATTGTAAATTTGGTTCCCAGCATGGTGTGTGTGTGTGTGTGTGTGTGTGTGTGTGAGTAAGTGAGTGAGATTCCCAGTGATTTTGATAAGACACAAGAATCTTGAGTTTCAAGCCAAGATGGGATCTTCGACACAAGGTCTGACAATAGTGTGGATTTTTCATTTGAGCGTGGCACTTGATGCCTTCACTCTCTTCCACTCCTTGACCATGCTATCCCTCTAGATAGGTGGCTCTGCAAGGAACTGATGCTCTTACCTGCTCAAGAGCTGCTCCTGCACTCTGGGTACTTTTCCATCTGATAACACATGCCCCTATGTATTGATCATGTCCCAGTAAGGTCCTAGGTTACAATGCTTTCAAGGGCCTGATGAGTATGGCATGGTTGCTTAGAATATTTAGTATACACTCCAAGTATCCTCCAAGTATCTAATGATGCACACATTAACCCTGAACCTGGATGGACAAAAGCAGGAACTGATAGATTCTTCCCATGTTTGTAAAAAAAAAAAAGCAATTGAAAATATAGTTGCTAAAAACAAACAAACTAACAAAAAAAAAGAACTTATGTGGTAACTTCAGTTCAGGCTGAGTGATTGAATAAATCTCTATCAATAAGCTCCCCACCTGCCCCCAACCTGGGAAGTAAGATCATACTGGCCTCTGAGAGAACAATACCCAAGAGGAAGAACAGTGCTGAGAGACCCAGCCTTGAAAAGTAGACAGCATCATCCTTGCCATGATCCGTGCTTAAAGCCATGTGACAGAGCTGGCACAGTCTCTATGGCTAGAGAAAGGCTTTCCACCTCAGTGGGATGTCAGGCCACTGTGCAGAAACCATGTGAGAAGCTCTTGAAAAATTATTACATCTTTAGAAACAACTACTAGATTACATTGGTGAGGACTGAGTGTCATAGCTCTGAAAGATCTCCTTTGTCATCAAACATGTGTCTATAAACAGGATGCTTTGCTTTCCTGAGCCTCCTTTACTCTCCTAAAGAGGATATAAAGCAGATACCTTAAGGAACAACTTACCCTATATTGAGAGAAACCCTGCAAAAAGCTGCTGTCATCAGAATGGTCATGCAAGGCCTTCTCTAAATCTGGATAGCACTGGGAGTGGAGGTGTAGAAGATGTTATATGGTATAATTTAATGTAAAGAACAGGGTTACACAGGGATTTGTGTTCACCTCCAGCTGATACACCCGTTAGACCTTGAAAACTAAATGGACACTCAAAGATTCACTCAGTTCCTCACCTGCACACTCACAGAACCCTTTTGAGTTATTAGTCCATGAAAGAAGTAATATATCCATCATCATCTTGGGACTGCCAGGCTGGCGTCCTGGTTCTTTCAGGTCTAAGTGTCCTCCAAATATATACTTTTCCTGATTCATGTTTCCCAACCTGTCTTTGAACTTTTCTAATTCTGATAAGTATATATTTGTAGGTGGATTAGGGTGTGAACTCTTTGAGTTCAATGACAAGAGAGGTGACACTCATACTTATCATGACAATATCTAGCACAGTGTGCGCACAATGCAATACGTCAGGGGCCTCCGGCCATCAACCAGATATGGCTGCTTCATGTACTCATAAGAAAAGACATGACTCAACCCTCATAGAGAGTACATGACTTTGAACACCCTGATACCTCTGCTAAATTCCAGAAAACAGGCCTGCAGCTTAATTAGCAGTTAAAGATTAGCTCAACAGAAAGCCCCCAATTCTGCCAGGAGTTAGCCGTGGACATGGAAAAGATTGAGATAAAGTAAGGTTACCTAGCAACACAGGAGGTTCTACCCCCGACCTTTTGCCCTGTGAATTAGGTTTCCAGGCAGCACAGAGGGTTACCTCTACCACTGACCTTTTGCCCTGACAGCTTCCTAGAAGCTGCCCCTCCCTGCTCCTCCTCCAAGCACCTTAAATATACCTTGGAAAGAATAAAGTTTTGTCACCTTGATCAGAATCCTGCCTTGGCTTACCATTCTTCGTGTCTCCTGTCTTCATCTTTCTCCTAGGTGCCCTCCAGCCCCCACGTTGAATATCCCACAATTCGGGCACAAAACTGCAGTATGCCCATTGAAGTCAGTATGGTAGCAAGAGGCTATAATCACAATTCTTCAATTTATTCACAGTGATGATTTCCTAGACCTTGATATTTCTGCAGCAATTCAGCTATCCAACATAAAGACACATGAGAAAGAGTGATATTGTAGTATTTATCTTTGCAGTGGTTCTGAGAAGATTCTAATAGGCAAAAGATGGTATCAGAGAGAATGGTGAAGCACAAAACAGGGTAGCAGTGGCTATGCATTTTCAGCAAAAGATAAATGACACACACAAGGAATGTCTAGCAGGTGGCAAGAAAATTAGGTCTGGTTTTCCAACAATAAAATGCAACTAAAGAGCAAGTATTGGTGGCAATTTTATCCTTACACAATATGAAGAAACAGTTCTAAACTATTTTGTTGGTGAGAAAATGTATGCTGAGACAGATCAAGTAAAGGCTAGGTAGTGAGAAGACAATGCCAGGACTCTTCCTGAGTCTCCTTCACGATCAAGCTGACAACTCTCTTATCAGCCAAATCACGGGCCTCTGCCCAGTAATGTCAATTCGTTCCAGGGAGAAGAGAAAGGATGGCTTTGTCAAAAACGAAGATAGAGACGGAGACACTCGTGAGAAGCTGGGATCCTGGCTCTGCCAAAGTACAGACAGCTATCTAAGGAAGGAAGAAAGGGGCTGCTGCAGCTCGTGCAGATGCGCCCATCTTTGGAAAGTGTGCTCCAGGGAAACCAATCTTTTCTGCTTGTACCACTGTGGCTAAATCAAGACAGCACCATACTTGTCCTGGGGATGACAGCCCTGACCTGGGTACACATTCTAAGCATAGGCAAGCTGCAGTCACAAGGGTTGGAATATTATTAGTTTCACTCTGTTTCAGCTCCAGATTTCTCTGTGAATCGTGTGTGCATGAATCACAGCCGCCACTCCTCATATTTAGAAGCAGATGTATAATTTTTCTTATCCAAGAAAAAATCAATTGCTGCCTAAATATGACTCGACTGTAGTCTCTGAATCTCTCTGATTTATTCAATTCTGAATCATTTTTGGGGAGGAAATGGTGAGAACAATTAGAAAAGTTAAAAAAAACTAAGGTGACATTTTTTATGTATTCCATCAACACTTCAAAAGCAAGGCAGATATAAGTATTCCTCTTTGGCACGACAGGAACCTGAGACTCATGTGAGCACTTTATTGTTTCAGAGTCACATGGTCAGATGGAGCTAGGGTTCCTCTTAGGTGTGCTACACACTAAATCCTTTGCTGTCATCAGCCCTGCTTGCCTTTCTTTTGGTGACAATGTTAAAAATGATAGCAGGCAGACTGACACCACTTGAGTAATTTCTTCTTTTTTTTTTTTAATCTCATATAGAGATGGCTTTCAACTGTCTCCAGTAGTGGGTGTTGTTTGCTGTCTATTGTCCTCTTATGACCCTCGTTTGAATTGCTGACATTCAATTACTTTTAACCCTTTTGAATATATGTAGAAAGGGACAAACATCTAGCTGTTTGCTCTAAAGGACGGGTCCCAGAACACAGGGACCAGTGTCAGCGTTGTTCAAACACTGACACCAGTCAGACATAGGCAGAGAAGAACTGCCTACCTGGAACCAGTCACAAACATCTACAGTATAATACCTACTCTTCCCCTTGGTGAGGAGACACTTTCGATCTCCCCAGCAGAGCTAAAGCTATGCACCAGGCATCACTCTGGAAGTACCACCACATATCCTGTCTCTGACACCTCCAAGCATAGCTGAAGTTTCATTTTGCTGCCAAAGAAACCAAAGCTTTAAAAGTTGTATTGCTCTGTTATGCTACTGCTCTGTGCCACCCCCATTATTACTGTTGTATTGCAGGGAACAATTTCGTTGCACCAAACTATACTTCTTATCAATATGTATTAATAGTTCTCACTATTTCCTAATGAAGCAGCAATATATACAAATACCTTAGAGTTTTAAAACTTTTTATATATTTTTCAATGATGTCATCATTTGGATTTGGACTCGAAATATTTTAAAAATTATGTCCCAAATAAGCTTTTCAAACTAAATGAATCCAAACACAAACACCCCTCTTGTCTGCTCTTAATGCACAATGTTTCTAAATTATAGGTATGTTTTTTAGTTTTGTTTTGCTTTGTTTTGTTTGTGTTTTTTTTTGCTTTGTTTTGTTTTTTATCATGTCCTCATTTTGCTTAAATTTTTGGTGGAGATTTCAAATCGTATTGCTCAATAGAACTAAACAGACAGTCTAAGACATTGAGTTTAAGGTTAGGGATCAGAATTCATCATGTGTAACACGAAAAATAAAAAGACCCAGAGACTGCTATTGGAGTTCAAGCTTCAAGCTGAAGATCAGAAAAGAAAAGCAGCTAAGCCAGTAGCTCTTACCTCTGCCTCAGGCTGAAATGGCTGATCTGTCGCCACGAGCTCTCGCAAAGCCTCAGACTGCTGCCTCTCCTCAGTGTAGCTGGAGAATGAATGTCTTCCTATCCTCAATGTGGCTGGAGAGTGAATGCCAGTTCTGAGACCCTGTTCCTATCTTAAATACCTCTCATGAGTCCTGGAATTAAAGGAATTAAAGTCAGACCTTTAGACTGACTCAATCTCGTGTAGCTCTGGGTGGCCTTGAACTCACAAGAGATCCATCTGCCTTTGTCTCCTGAGTCCTGAGACTAAAGGTGTGTGCTACCACTGCCTGGCTTCTATGGCTAGCTAGTATGGCTGCTTTGCTGTTTTGATCTCCAGCAGCTTCAATAAATCATAAACAATATATCACCACAAATATGCATTTCAAAACTATCTTGCTCTGCTTCCCTTGCTGATCAGAGGTATTTCCATTCTCTACAATCTTGTATTCTCTGATTCATCCCTCCACCATCTGTGACAACCTGTGTGCTTTGTTGTGATGGGGGTTCCTATGTATTCATTTTACAATACAGTGTCACCGAGGACATGACTCCTCCACTTTCATGCAGGGTGTCACTGAGGGAGCACAACAGATGATATTTATCCTTTGTGACAGAGGCCAAGCATAGAAATAAGCAACATGCATGGTAAATCAGTAACAAGAGAACTTGGACTTAGGAAGAGGCAAGGAATGGTTAGGAAACAACTTTGTATTTCCAAGGCTCATGAATGAGTGCAGAGATCATACTTGCATGCCCATGTCTCCCATTCCTCAACTACTTGAATGTGAATTTTGCTACGACATGAGGATTCCCTCACAATGTAGAAGTGGCTAACTGTTGGAATATTTGTAAAGTTATAATCTTTCCAGATGGTCAGTATGAATCAACATGCCAGCTTCCTTTGCCAGTGGAGAGTCACTGTGCTCAGGGCACATTCTGGCATGATGCCCACATCCTTAAGACTCCAAAATCAATCCTAGGCACCATATGGAAATCAGAACATCATAAACCATTCTATGAATACAATACAAATTGGCTTAAATCTGAGCAAGCCTTTTTCTAACCAAGGTACACCCAATGATGCTATATTTTTTCATATGCTCTTGTATGCTAGAGATCTGACCATCTGGAAAATCATAGTAGTCTTTAAATACAAATTTGTCAATGGCATGTTCACTGTGAACAGGAATCCTACACTTGACTGAGCCAAAGGTCCATGAAGTATTGTGAAATCTATGTATAGCAATCAAGCAAAGGAGGATACATTCAGGACAGCCTGATGTAGCCATCAAATAGTATACGGACATCAATCATTGTGAGGACGAACCATTGGAGTTTAATGAACTGATAGCACTTTTATGGGCTATGTCACCTTACACAAATCCTTTAATCTTCCTAAGTCTTAGTTTCATTGTCTGTGAAATGAAAATGAGGATTTACCTGAGAGGGTTGTTGTGAGAATAAAATTTGGTAATGCATTTGCTGTAGTAACAGTCACATTATATCCTTAGAGAGCAAAATTTCCTTCCCTTGCTAATTGGGTCTCTCAATGCTGCATGAGTATTGATAAGCAGATTGACATAAGTCCCAATGTCTTGACTTGTTTGCACATCACTGCCTCCTCTCCATGCTCTGAGTTCCACAATAGTCTGGTTTCAGCTCCTCTTCCTCCCATTGTATAACTCCAATTCTAAATTCTTAGGTTTGCAATGCACTTCTACTTCTGGTGGGGATATATTACATTGTCCGGGAGTGTAGAAATAGAGAGGGAGCAGGAAATGCACTTGGTAGGGAATAATATGGACAACCAGTTCGCAAACCTAGATTACCATCCCAGCTCTGGCACTTGCTAGAGCCACATAAGTGACAAGCTGCTCAACTTCCTTAAATCTCAGCTTCCTGGGCTGTAAACTGAGGATAAAATCTATACTGCTGCAGCGTAACGAAAAAGAGAAAACCTGCATTGCAGTGTCCTTGTAAGGAAAAGATGTCAGCTGCAGAGTCAGGTGCCAAGCACAGCACAGAACTGCCTGCAGCCATTGAATAAATGGTAGCACAAATAAGCCTATGGATGCCTGTACTTACGAACCACAAAATTATTATCATTATTATTCGGAAGAGCAATGGAATTTGGCGGTTTGTTTGCATGGTCATGCTGAGTCCGCTGGTTCTTAGAATGCTTCCGATTAGTCAAACAACTTGTTTGTGCTTCAATTTGCTCACATGAAGAAGCACCCCCAAGTATAAATGCAATCACATTGTGCGTCTAGGAAACCTGCTCATTTTAATTAACCTAAAAGGTTTCTAGCAATTCATGTTGATAAAGCAATTTGACACCCTAAGAATAAGAGGCAATTTGAATGTGAAGTTTTATTACAACAGCATTTTTACAGCTATTCCTCAAGGAGCTCTTGAGCAGAGTGGAGCTCCTGGAATTTCTTGCCTTTCATTAAGGGAAAACACTGATGCCCACTTAAGGACAAGGCTCTCAGTGACTCCAAGGAGTTTTTAGAATTCTGTTTCTTCAGAAAAAACAGGGATCAGAGTTAGATATTGTAAAAATACGGCAAAGATTAAGTGGGGATAGAATTATTTTGCCCTTTAAATACCAGCTAAATGGTGGCTGCTTCTAAATCTACAAGTCACAATCTGGTACACTTCTGGGGAAAAAAGGAAGAGATAATAGAGTAGTTAAAAAATGTTTTCTGAGCCATTGCTAACAGGAGACACAGGGCCAAAATATATATTGAACTCCATTCTGAGTGCAACAAGGATCTGTGGTCTAGGAACAGAGTCAGACAGGAGGGAGACATTTACTGAGAAGGGTCATCCGGAATAGGATATTCTAGATAAATCGACATAGCATGTTTCTTCCTGAAGAGGGTGAACATAAATCACTTGAGAGAAGACAGAGGATGAAAAGCCAGATACATATCAAGGGCAAGGTTTTCAGAAAGTCTCCAGCTTGGGCCCTTGTGGTCACGTGTCTGAAGTGCCTAGTGTCTTCAGTAATGGGACTTAACCTTCTACCTCTCATGGGCAAGCAATGTAATGACAATAGAATATAAAATTTGAGGTGTCTCTTGGCCCACCCTTACCCACAACTCAAAAGGGGAGTTACTGTGCTTGGAGTTGAGATTAGTTAGATAATCTATGGCTGTTAGGGGGAACATTGCCAGCCCAGGTGTGGAAATACACACACACACACACACACACACACACACACACACAAAGATAAAGAGATCATGAATTTGAGAGAGCAATGGAGGTACATGGGGTAGCTGAATATAGGAAAAAGAAGAAGAGAAAATGATACAATGTTTTAAATTTAAAAAATGAAAAAAAATAGAATAAATAAATTAAATATCCAGGGTGACTAATTGGAGTTTGGGAAATTTTAATAACACTATATTTTTATAAGGTACTGTACACAAGGGCAAGGAGAAGGTGCCAGAATTACCTATACCTTAGCCATGCAAAGAAATTTTGTTACCCAAGAAACACTGTGTGTATATCTCAGATTCA